TAATTAAAACTAATTTCCCATAATAGACATGAGAACAATACCTCATTTTATGAATGTGCAGCTGTATATATAAAAGAAACAATACGACTTTCCAGTGGCTGTCTTAGTAGAGATTTGTATTTTTGTCTACATGAAATTTGTACTCATGGTGCCTAATAAGCTAGTTACCAAGAACATACCAAATGAATATGTATACTTCATACATGTAATGTTAAATGTTTCTGTGAATATAACATCACTAAATAATGTGTACAGTGTACATCCTATCAAAAAATGGCGTTGTAAAACAGCGATCTGAAGATATTACGGGATGGCAGAATAAAGAAAAACCAAAGGCCACAACATCTGGGCAAATCCTCTGGTGTTGTTACCCAAACAGAATACATTAAGATAAAGTTCTAGATTTTGGGAGTGTTATTGTGTCATGAAATCTTCTTGTTATGGGCCAGTGCTGTTATATAAGGCACCTGTAGACTTAGCCTTTGCTTACGACTTGTGCTCACTATTTTTCAGTAACAGTGAATACATATTGTTACTGAAACAGCTAATAGAGCCCTGGTGTGTCAAAGAAACAGCAAGTGGGTTTTTAGTTAAGATTAAAGAGGATTATTTCTAGATTTAGTTAAATAAAATTCCTTACATAAACTAAGCGAAGTATTGCGAAATTCACAAATAAACTGATTAATTACACAAAATTTTATTTTAAGAGTAATATATTTTTCAAGATAAGTTATTTATCATCAGTCATAAAACAATTCATATTTCTTGAACACAACACAGGCTTGATGGACAATGGCCTGAATATTGTGGGATGTGACATGAAGGACATGTTAGGCAAGCTGGACACGGAAGATGCTCTTGTCAAGTAAGAGTTCATTTTCTGATTTATATGTACTGGAATTCTGTTTTTTTTTTCTTATTGTATTAAAGATTTGCTTATATTTTTCATGTCTCTCTCTTTCCAAAAGTCATGGCATTTCACACCACACCAGGATGACAGGGTTAAGAAACAGTTATCAGACTGTGTGGGATAAATTTAAGTCCCAGACCACAGCAGAACGAGATCTTTTC